CATTGTGTGTTGATAGCAAACCCAGTGACGATCCTTGCACGGCTGGAATAGCTTATTGCAGTTTGCCACAGAAAGCAAGCAACAAAAAGTTGACACTGTGCTGGGCGTACCATTGACTTAAAATCCAGAACAGCTGTTACTTAGACAAAGTGACATAAAGGCAGAAGTTAAGCAATACTAACTGAGGGAGATCTCATACCAAACTGGGTGTGTGCCGCACCATGAATTTTTAAATCACAGCATCTTTTCAGGTCTCTGTACAACTTAATCACAAGCCATAAATCTAAATTTAGTCTAAGTTAAGTGATGCATTTGAAAGCATCCTTTCAAATTTATTCTTTGCTCATATTTGTGAGCTGAGATCAAAAGTCCTTCTCCTGCTGTTCTAGCACAGACTTCTGTGTACAGAGGATGTACTGGCTTCTCCCCCCACCCCCTAAAGATATGAACCACTTACTATGACCTAGCTCTCTAATTTTAGTAAAACCGTTCTAGCAAAAGGTGTTACAGAGAAGATGAGGCCTTTGGCTCTGTGGGGAGTTTACAAGATACACAGCATGACAAACAAGGATTGTTATTAATAATTTTCAGAAGTTTAAAAATGCCAGAGGGAAAGTTTAATGCTTTGGCTCTAGGAGCTCTGTCTCTCCACCTCTGCCCTTAAGGTTTTGCTTTTATCCCTTTTGATATTTTCGCCTGCTGAAAGTATTAAGCATCAGGGGACTGCCTGTCTCTACAGACTGTTTAAAGAACATATGTGAGCATGTTGCTTATCCAAATGTTTTACTTCTCTTCCCAGCTTACCAGAGAAGATCAAGATGAGTCTGCGGAAGCAAACCCCTAGTGACTTTCTAAAACAAATCATCGGAAGGCCAGTTGTCGTAAAATTAAATTCTGGAGTTGATTATCGAGGTAAGTTCCCCATCTGTCTCTCACACAGAGTAAAATCACTGTTGGGGGAGACTAGAACAGATGCATTGCTTTTGAAAAGCAAAACAGTGTGATCCAGAATCTTGGAGTATGGGAATATAGATCTCAGAATGGTGACATTAAAAATAGAAAATCAGCTCTGGAGAAACTGATGAAAAGGATGTTAACGGTGGATTTAGAGATTAAAATTACTCATCTAAATCATTAGTGTCCTTAGTTACAGATGGTTAGACTGGAATCTCAGGATGATTCTGAGTTTCTAAACTGATATTTGTAAAGATTAGCTGGAATTCCAATTCCTGAAATGGCCAGACAGTCCCCTTTTCAGTGCTTGGATGGCAACCCTTGTTGGAACTACCCTTTTCTTCACATTCCTGTTCTCCAAATCCTAGTATACACCTTGGTCCAGAAAAGCTTCAAACAGTAAACTATGCCATCAGTCATAAGCCTACTCTTACACGAGGAATGAAAGAGTTATTTTCATTCTTGATTAAACAACTGCCTAGACACATGTTAGATCAAGACTCAGAGATACAGGAGAAAGCTTGGTGTTACTTTTGCTGCTATGTGCCCAGTTCATTTTAACACAGTCCAGCAGTTTTATTCCAGAACTCTTCAGCCTGTGTACGTTCTTGCACTGTGGGATTACAGGGGTTTTTAAACCGGTAAATTAAACTTCTCTGTTCAGTGAAATGTCCTGGTCCTACTACCATTAGGATAAGACTATAGGCCTGCCCAGTTTTTTAAGTAGTATCCAAACTTAATTAAAACTGTCATGTATCTCCTATTGTGCACGACTTAGACATTTTATTCTGAAATGATTTAAACATTATGGTCCTGCTACAGATAGTTTTAATTCAATTAGCTTAGCTTGGCACTTGAGACTTGTTTGTGCTGTGACAAGGAATCTTTGTATTATGACAGTTTGAAATTGATATTGTTCACTGAGAGCAAGCAGTGCCTTTTTATCCTTCCTGTTCTTCTTTAGTGTCTCTCAGCTGAGAAAATTTGTAATCTGTCTTTTTTTTTTTTTTTGAGAACCACATTGAACACTTCAGGTGGCATTGGTGGCTTAAAAACTTCACTTCAGAGGTCTTTGGCCTCTGGTAAATTCTTTCTTATAGGAGAATGTAACAACAGTTCATTAAAGTCAATTAAAGCAAGTCATCATTTACCTAAAAGGTACACGCAAGCCAGGGCCAAACCAGATTTGGTTTTTGGATGCACTTTCTATTTTCTTTGAGAACACTGGTACGTTCTGCTCGGTAAGATCCAATTGTAACTGCTACAGATAAATTACTCAACTTTCCCCTCAAAGCTAGTTTAACATGCCTACAATCAGACCTACCAGTTCCTTTGAAAACCCTTGGTTTTTACTGGATTTTTTTCCCCCTCCCTTCCTTATTTCCCACTGCTCTCCTTCCTTCCCACTCAATGTGATCCTGCGGTTAAAAACCTGTATACTATTCTCATTTGAAAAATCAGCACTCAGTTTGTTTTCTGCAGAAATTTGACCAACATTTGTAAAAGCTAAACATTAAGAGAGACAGTATCTCAGGCTTTTGTTGCAGATTCGTCTAGATTCTTCCTCTAGGCTGTGTTGCTAATTTTATGTCTGTACCTCCATCCTCTGAGCCACAATACACACAAACATGGCCTAATACAAGTGTTGATCTGTAACCATAAAATCTCTTGATTTGCTGCCAAGTGCTGCACATGTCTAAGGGAAGAAGCCCCGAGAAGGTAACGAGTGATAAATTAATATGTGTGATTTCTACGTGTAGAGATGGATATGTACATTAAAACATCTCTACATATAGATAAACCAGATAAAATACTAGCCAGGATGGGCAGTGACAATATTTAATGCCATTAGTAGACTGAGAGTAAACATAAAGAGGAAGAGAATGAAACAACCATGAATGCACTCTAGGAACAAGAGTTTGAAAATACTGCGTTTATGGCCTACTGAGTGGTACCTTAAGAAAACCCCACACAGTCCAATTTTAATTTTGGACAAACTTTTTTTGTTTTCTACTGTTAGGTGGAACACTTGGGATTACTGGAGTGAAAAAGAGTTCTGCCTTTGGTTTGGTTTGGGGGTTTTGGTGCATTTAGTAGCACTTTGTGAGCACTTTTTCCTATTTGTGTAGAAACAGAGGAAAGAAAAACATAAAGGAAAATAATAATCCTCAAACCATTACTAGTTGGCAGGAGAACTTGAATTCCTAATTATTTAATGGAAGATGTTACAGTAACACTTCTGAAAAATGAGAACATGTCCTAGAGGAGGATTCTCAGAATGGAGTTTTCTCCCCCTCCCCGAGTACAGCCAATACACTGTATTTTGAGTTTTAATGCCAGATAAATAATTAGATGTTTTCCAAACAAAAGAAAAAATTGGTTTAGTAGTATTGTCTGTGTGTGCAAGGATAAAGTCAGGAAAACACACACGCAAGATGGAGATAATTAATACAGCTTTTTACAAGTTGTTTTGTATGCACAATTAATAAATCAGATTGCATTATCTGAGCAATTCTTTACATCTGTTAATCCCCGCATTCAGTTCCTTACATGAATAATCTGTCTGTTGGCCAGGCAAGTTAAATTTGTAGACAGCCATGGTTCTGATCGTAAGGGCAGGTATAGACACCAAAGATTTATTTGAATGAAAAAATGCCATCGTGCTGCCAGCACATTGGAGGTACTGTCTGAACAAGGTACAGCCTTCAACAGGGGCTATGAGAAACGAGAACATAAGTACTTGTCTAAAATCAGTGCTACTCAAATACATATTATCCTGATCAAAATAACATCTAATATTACAAATGGCAGAGATTTTTTTTCTTGAGTTGCATTAAACAGGGTAATTTTGTTTTTACAGGAAGATTTCAGTGTTGTTTGAAAACTCTTTACCTGTTGAAAGTTATGTAGAATTTTGTTTACATCAAAACAGAGACTTGCAGTCAATGTTCTTCTAGATCTGTTAGCATGAAGATAAATATGAAAAAGCGTGTATGGTGCCCTGTATTAAAAAGGTTGTTTTTCAGCTATGAAAACTCAATTTACATAGCCTTGTCCTTAAGTTATGCAGTTACACTTAATGTCACAGGTTCTTTTCAGGTGTGTGGCTTAAAACACAAGTGAGAAGGGACAACTTAAACTTTCAAAGTGGAAATTGTCAATGTTTTGAAAGTCACACCTTAATGACTTCTTCCCCCCGCCCCCCCCCCTTACATCAACTGATAAAGTTGCTACTAGAATGCCTGGAGTTCCTCGCTCCCAGCTTAATTCTTTGGTGAATACTCTGATCTACTGACTCATCTGGCCAAGCTTGGGCTTTTAGGGTTTTTTATGAAGATACAGTTTTTTCAGTACCATTCAAACACAATGCATTTTTGTTTATTTTAAAATAAGTTTAAGCTGATTCACTTTTAAGCTGTCATTGTCTGCAGGGGTCCTGGCTTGCCTGGATGGGTATATGAATATAGCTCTGGAACAGACTGAAGAATATGTAAATGGACAACTAAAGAACAAGTACGGGGATGCATTTATCCGAGGAAATAACGGTAACTACTCCTCCTTATGTTATTGCTCAGCAGAAAATTGTGGTTTGATATTTACTTCTGAATTTGAGGAGTGGCTGAGGTGTAAGCAAGCTGCCTGCAAGAATATTACTCTTAGGCTTTCTTGGAAACCTTAACATATTTACTTTTTACAGTTTCACTTTTCAGTGTCTGTGCTTTTCTGCATTCCTGTGGCCCTTTTTGCCTCTGATCTTGAAGTTCATTTAGAGAAGCATGCTCTTTTCTAGCCTGCCTTAGAGCTTATTTCCTGTCATTTGACAGGTTTACTCTTTTGCACTTACTGCCCGCTTAGATGGCCTCTGCTCTATAGAAATTTCTGTGTTTTGCTAGGCAAACTAGTGCATAAATTTGTGATACAGTACAGATATTGATGACACTAATATTTTCTTGTGATGCAATTGTCTAGACCTGAATGAATACTGGAGGTTCATTAGTACTGGAGGCTATTTTCATCTTCATGAGTAAAGATTTCACCACCAGTCAAGAAAATCACTTGTACTTTACTATTGAGCCTTTGTGCAGTAGGAGGATTTTTGTGCACTTCAAGGACAATCCCAGGCTCCTGAAATGACTCTGTGGTTATCAGTTAGGCTGTAATAACAGGACATGCCAGGGAGAAGAATATCTAAAAAATAGAAAAAGTTCACAAGTCAGATGCGAAGAGACTTGTAGAGAAGGTAAATGAAGCAGAGTGACCAAGTTACTTGAAGAAAATGGAGGAAGTGAGGGAGTGAACAAAAAGAAACAAGAACCGAATCCCATGTTGCGAAGTCAAAGAGAATGTGGCACCAGTGTGAGAGTGTGTTTTGGGCAGAGAAATAATCCTTGAATAAGGCCAAATGCTTTTTGCAATGAATTTGGATTATTGTGCTAACAAGTGCAGTGACATCGCAGCTGGAAAATCAATTGTGGAAATAAGAATATATTATAAAAGTTAAACGAGTGAGAGGCAGGAGGCTGAAGAACAGGCTGAGCAGAGAACTTAAGACATCCTAGGTTTAGGAGCATGATGCAGTTTAATGTGCCTGGATCCATTCTGGGAATATCACTAGCCAAGCAGGTGGAAGATATCTGCTGCTTCATAGGTAATGGTTAGCTTTGCCTTAAGTGCTTGCTATTTCCATCATTTGTTGAAAGATTGTAGCACTAGTACCTGACACCTGTAATTCTGCTGCTTGGAAACTCTCTCATGCTCCCCTCAGTAATGGTGCAGGGTAGCTGGCTTTATCCTCCCTCTGTTCAGCCTGCATCTCCTGGAACATAGCTTGGCTATAAATATAATAAATACTGAACCAAAGTAATACATAATGTGTAAATTTGATAGCTTTCTCAAAACCTGGACTTCAGTGTTTCCTGACTTTGTTCATGCCAAGTGGGATTCATTACACTGTTGTTTTGCAAGCCATGGAAATAAGATGTTTTAAATCAACAGGCTTCTGCACATTGTTTACCAGGGCCCTCTTACGTGTGCCGCTTTCTCCTTTTCACAGTATTGTACATAAGCACACAGAAGAGGAGGATGTGAAGATGCCAGAAGGAGGCTGTTTTGTACTTGTGAACCTCTTCAAGTGATGAGCCCTATTTGATTTGTAGTTAATAATCCACAGGAGAAATGCACAAGTGTTTAAATTTATTTTGTTTAATAAATGTAAACCAGTGTAAACTTCCTGAATAGTTTTGTTTCAAAGCATTGCTTTGTTCCACTGTACAGAAAAAAAATAAAAAAAGAAGCATGTAATAATGCTGCAAGACTAATTCAAAGTAACAGATCATTTAATTATACTAACAGTTGTAGAAATACTGATGGAAGGTAAGTAGGCATGGAGTAATTGCAAATCACAGCCTTGTATTGATGGCAAAACAATAGTTTAACTGATGTTGGGAAGGAAAATGCTAATGTTTTGGTGACAGTGACCTGTCCCTTTTGGAAAACACAGGGTTAGCTTTAAATGCCAATCTAATAAGAGCCCTCAGGTAAAAAGTTCAGCAGTCCAAAAAAATCTTGAATTGTGGATTGAATCAAGGGATGTAACAGTGACACTTCAACAATTAGGGGTAGAAATGGAAGAAAAGCCCTAAGGGTGAACAGAAAGCTCTGTGCCAGCTGAGGAAATCAGTCACAGGTGAAGAGCTCTCAGTTGGTATGCCAGCACAGCTGGTAGCTGCTTCACCTCCTGCCTCTGTACATCCCACCCTACCTCAGCCTGCCATTACCTTTTTTCTCTACCAAACACAGTGGACTTCAATAAAAAGCTATTTTAACTAATATCTAAAGCTACTCTTGGAAACAGACTAAGAATATAAAAGCTCTCGTAAACAGGCCATATGTATACTCTTCAGACAGTTCACTCTGTCCCATCTGCTTCCCTCCACCCTAGCACCATCTATATGTTCTCTTCCTTTCTGTGTTAGCCCGAAATGAGAACACACACATTAAACTTGTAGTATGGGGTATGCATTAGGGAGGGGGAACCCCTGCGCAGGCAACAGAGTCAGAACTTGTTTGTATTTTGCAACAATGCTCACAGATAATCAAGACCCAGTGAGTAAATCCAGCTCAGTTTTACATGGGTACTTCCACTAGTTTGTAAGATATCTTTTCTCCTTTTACATGCAGTCAACCAAGAAAAAAACTAAAACAATGTTCACATATGTTTTAATCTGAGTGTTACTGCACTTAACAGCCAGATAGTCAGAGTGTTTTCTTGTTCCTCAGGACAAAGTTAGAGGTTAGGGTAATGCGCCTCATGGTGAGGTTATTTAGCCAATTTTGTAAAACTGGTTTCCTGAAGTCTTGCTTTATTCTTTGGGCAATTTATAGTGCTTTCAGGAAGAAAAATGCTTCTAGTTGTGGACAGATGAACAAAAGACAATTGTGTGAATGTAACATTGGCCCATTCTTTCCAAGTACCAGTAGCTCTAACGCAAGCAGGGAATAGTAACATTTCAGTTATCCAAGGGAGAGAATGCGAGTTGCAAATTTTATTTTATTTTTTTTTTAGATCAAGGAATAATTCTAAGTTATTTTGCAATCAGTAGTTAACCTTTCCACATTAAACACTTCAGAAGCTGCTACAGAACACAGAGATGCTATTTTATAATATGCTTCAATAATTTATCATTTTTTGACAAGGGTTGAAAAGGGTCCAAGATGTAAATACAAATCACCAACTTGCTCCTCTGTTAAGTGACTTCTTTTAAAAAGAGATGATGTACCTCCAAGTGGAGGATGCAGTTTCTTATTTCTTTTGTCATCTATATGCAGCTGGCAGGTTACTGCATGCTTTCATTCCTGGAGACTGTCTGGGCTTTGTGGTTTTATTTTGATATGGGGTTAGGTTCCCCCCCCTTCCTTTGCCACTTCCTCCCCTCCTCCACCTATAGCAACACATTTTGCACAGACTTGGATTTACTCTCAAGAGTTTGCATTGCTAACTTTTTAACTGCAGTTCTGTTTCTACAAGTCTAGTTATAGAACATTTTTCAGTTGTGATCTACTTCAGAATGTCTAATCTCATACTAAACTGTAAACTTAGAAAATACTATGTAGTTTACATGCTGAAGGTTTTTTTTAATGTATTCTAGATCATTAAGTCACTATTTACTATGTGAGGTAGATAGGAAAATTTGCATTAAAGATAAGCTGTTATGATTCATATTCAAATTTCAGAAGTAGCTAAAGAAATTAAACATTTAATTCCCACATTCCTGACCTTTATATACATTTTACAAGTTCCCCCCCCCCCCTTAATTCAGTTTTCAGTCCCTGTGTTTTAATCAAGTGAACATTTAAGCTTGACTTCAGTTAGTCCAATATTTGGATGTAGTCTGTTTTGAGTTGGATAAAACATTCATCTTGGATTTATTTTACTTGTAGTTTTTGTTTTGACTTACTATATTCTGTAAAACAACATACCAGTTGCAAGTAAACCAGACACTGGCCAGTTTTCAGAAAAGCACATGGGACACTATCCAAAGATTAAGTTTTAAGGTGAGGCATTCTGTTATATATGTGTGTAAACATCAAAGTAGAATGGGGCATTTCACAAACCCTTGTGCTTAAAAATGACTCAACCTAATTCATAAGATCTTTATCCCATAAGGAGAAAGAAATACACTTTTACAAATTCAATATATCTTCACACACAAAAGACTATAGTAGATACTAATGCTCCTGTCCTTCATGTTACCTCATTTACCATATCCTAATGCTCTCACCCCAGTACCTGTGCGTAAAACAGTTTTACTCATGGATCAAGCTCATCTAGGTCAGAACTGACAATGAAACATTCTTTGAGCAACTTACAAAGCACTCACCCATCACTAATCTTAGGAGAATGCACCCAAAATTAAGTAATCCAAAACTAACAAGCAAAAATTAATTGAATTTCAAAGACAAAAGCTGCATTCATATATATAGTTAGTACTTCTGTGCAATGAGATCACTTCAGAAAACCAAGACCCTTCAACCACCATCACATCCCCTTCCATACATTCAGTTCACAGACAGGCCCCATGAAGAGCAAAGAGCAGCAGCTCCAGATTTGCTACATCCCCACATCCAGCATAAGCTTCTTGCCTTTGGAGAACAAACAAACAAAGCCACATCTCAAACAAAAGCCTGGCTGGGAGCAGCAGCACAGCATATCCTACGGACACTAGAGAAAGCAAGTCTGGAAAAAGGAGGTAAGTACTCACCACACGATGCAGCAAGCAGAAGCCAGGATACTACTAAAGCCTGCAGTGCCCTGGAGTGGCCCTATATAAAGGGAGCAGAGCATGCTAGGAAAGTTTGGCTTTAAAGGTATATATACACTGATAACCACTCGGTTTTACAGTTTGTTGCCACCTGGTTCCTGTTCAAAGGGAATCTAACGCAAACCACTCTGAACGTTATTTATTTGAGTTCTTTCCATCTTTTTCATGATGTTACAATGACAAAACAGGTATCCAGAGCCCTTCAGGGTACAACTTGCCCATTAAGTCCGAAGGCTCTTACCCAGCTCCGAAAACCAGCTGTGCCCCACACACACAGCTGCAGGTTTCAGCTGTGTTGTTCATGGTAGTCAAGAAGGCATGAAAGTGTTTGCAAAGTGATGGCCTTTGAATGTTTGACTGATGGTACCAAAGCAATGCCTGATCTTTAATGTGCCAACCCATGCCTGTGGCTGGCTCCAGCCCCGTGTCGGTTTTGAAAGCAAACAGGCTGCAGAGCCAGCAGTTTCAAAGTCTCGGGTTCCTGTGCCAAACTGTTCTCCAAGGTTGAGAAATCAGATGGGAGGGGGCTTTTCCTGAGCTACTGTACTCATCCTGACGTTTAGGAGCCAGTGATCCACACAGCAGCTTCAGGCTGGGCTGGGCTGCATGCCTGACGTGGCTTGTAGGTCTCCCTTGGGCTGCACGGCCCCCTTGGCCGCAGGACACCTCCACCAGCTCATCATATCGGCGGAGCTCGTGGGCAGCTCCCACTCGGTCCTGTGATTGCACCACCTGCCTGGCCTTGCCTTTATCTAACGGAGCAGCAACAAGTTCTCGTGAGAGCATCCTTTAGAAAGAGGGTTGTTTTCCTGTAAGGAAATTATAAAATCGCTCGTAATGAAAAAGCAGAGCTGCTCTCCACAGATGGGGTTGCACCTGCTCTGTACAGCACACCGTGGGAAAATCCACCTGGGCTCCATCCGATGCTATGTGAATGTGGGGTGCCCAGCATCTGGAGGGATGCACAGTTTACTTGCTGTCTGTATTCCTTGTCTTACTCTGTCTTATTAAAGCAGTCATTAAGCTATTTGTTGCTGGGCCTTTCTTATTGAGATCCAGACAGAGCCCTGCACCATCTTTCTTTCTCTCTCTCTCCCCTTAACCCCCTCGTCTAGTGCAGAACAGCTGCCCAGGTTGCAGTAGTTACCAAATAAAATAAAGGGTTGTTTTGGGGTTTTTTAGGCTGAATTTGTAAGGAAAGGAGGCTCACGCTATATGTTGCCTGCAAGCATATGTGTCAATTCATTTCCAGCAGTAACATCTGAATCCGCTGTCACACTTCACTAAGCGTGATAGAGGAATAGCAAGAATGGTCACCTGGATAGAAACGGAAGGACCTGCCAGTACTTCTGCAAACCTTCCGCCTAACTAGACATCAGAGAAACATCCTCTTTTCCCTGGTTTCCCCAAACAGAGCCACAGACATGCACAGGTCAACCCTGAGATGCCAGTTTGTAGGCATTGCTCTCCATTCTCTCCCTGGGACTACCATGGATTTTTACCGCTCTCCTCCTACTGTGGGTTTTTAACTGCTTTTCTTGCAGTTGGCCACTGCTCTTTGTTTTAAAGATGACCTGAAATATTCTTAAAGAAGATGGTGCTGCCAGCTTTGTTGGTTTAATGATCAGTTCCTTGTGATCTGGACTCAGCTGTTGCCACCTTCAAGCTCTCTACTTGATCAACCTGCTCGCTATCCTCCAACCCCTCTCACACACACACACTTTGTTCACAGGACTCAAGTGGCCACTAACTGGCCAGGAAGGACTTCTAACTCATTATAACCCTGATTATCTCGCAGTAGCAAAGCATTTCTCAGCCTGTCAATGAAGCAACCAGCTTGCTTTTGCGTGTCAGCTCTGGGTTGCTTACATCCATGCCTGTGTTACATACTGATCTCCACTGCACCTGCTCCGTGTCTCCTGTCCCTGTTGTGCCCCGACGATGTGGCGGTGTAGATGCACTCTGCAAGAAGGAGAAGGTTTCTGGGATGTTACTGGGTTTAT